GAGAGAGAGAAAGAGAGAGAGAAAGAGAGAGAGAGAGAGAGAGAGAGAGAGAGAGAGAGAGAGAGAGAGAGAGAGAGAGAGAGAGAGAGAGAGAGAGAGAGACAGATTAGGAGAGGGAAGAGAAAAGAATATTAATGAGATCGTGCCACAAATGATCGAGGAGCTGAAGCTAAAATGGAAATATTAAGTGTTTACTTTTATGGCTCAGAGGGGGTACGAGATGGGGGTGGGTGGCAAGGGGCGGAATGAAGTGACGGGGAAGGGGGGAATAGAAAGGAGGAAGGAGAATATCAGCTGAAAGAAGAAGAAAATGGAGAGAGAGAGAGAACAAGAGAGGGAGAGAGAAGCTGGAAGATAATTAGGGAGAAAGGGAAAGAAGAGATGGCAAGGAAAAGAATGGAACACAAGACGATGAGAGATGACAAAATAAACAAGGGAGGGAGAGAGAAAGGGAGACGGTGAGGGAGATGAATAAAAACGGAGAATAAAGATGCGAAAACATGTGAACAAGAAACAAAAAAATATATGGAAAACAAACAAGAAAACAAAACACGATAAAAGTGCTAACGTCCATGGCAACAGCAATCCAAAACAAGAAAACAACAAAACAAATAGAAAGGGCGAGTAAGTGACAAGAGTGTACACGTGCAACCCAATCCGTAGGACCTCCTGATGTCAGTCTCTCCACCTACTCCTCCTGATGTCAAATTATTATTTTCTTTTTCTTCTTCTTCTCCTCCTCCCTTTCCTTTTTCCTTCTCCTCCCTTTCCTTTTTCCTTCTCCTTTTCCTTTTCTTTCTCCTCCTTTCCTTTTCCTTCTCCTCCTTTTCTGCTTCTCTTTCTCCTTCTCCTTCTGGTCGTCGTCGTCGTCGTCGTCGTCCCCCACCCCCTCCCCCTCCTCACCCCTTATTCCGCCCCAACTTTTCTCTCCATCTTTTCCATTATACCATCTGTCTGAGCGAACTCTTCGGGCCTCATTGCGTCAATGTCTTCCCGACGCGCACCCGTCCTTCCCACAACCCATCTCGACACTTTCCGTCACATCTAAATCAAATCTGTCTGTCGATCTGTCTATCTTTATGCATGTCTTTATTCACTTATATAACTAAATATCTATCTATCTATGAGTGTGTCTGTTTATCAGTATGCATGGCTGTCTGTCCGTGCATCCGTCTGTCTATTTGTATATATGTATATGTACGTATATCTGCCTGTCTCTCCTCTCATTCTCAGTCACTGTCACTGTCACTCTCTCTCTTTCTCAGTCTGTCACTCACTCGCTCACTCGCTCACTCGCCTACTCACTCACTCACTCACTCACTCACTCACTCACTCACTCACTCACTCTCTCTCTCTCTCTCTCTCTCTCTCTCTCTCTCTCTCTCTCTCTCTCTCTCTCTCTCTCTCTGCGTGTGTGTGTGTGTGTGTGTGTGTGTGTGTGTGTGTGTGTGTGTGTGTGTGTGTGTGTGTGTGTGTGTGTGTGTGTGTGTGTGTGTGTGTGTGTGTGTGTGTCTCTCTGTCTCTGTCTCTGTCTCTGTCTCTGTCTCTGTCTCTGTCTCTGTCTCTGTCTCTCTCCGTATCGCTCCCGACCATCGCCTTCGAGCGCCATAAAAAGCATTCAGCGGCTTCCCCCATTACTGCCCAAGCTCCCCCTGCCGCCATACACCACTCTGGCGATCCCTAATAGCCGGCCACTGCCACCCAGCCGCCGCTAACTGCCTCCTCGCAGGGCATAACCACCTGACCCCCTTTCTCCGGTCACACCAAGCCACGGGCATGTGCTAGCAACGTTTTGTGTTTATGATGTTGATTGCGTGTTAAGAATTTTTTTGAGTGCGCGTGTATAAGTGTCTAAATGGATGTTCAAATGTTCATGTATGCGTGCGTGTTTGTGCAGGTGCATATGCAATTACATAATGCATGTGCGTGTTGTATCTGCAATGCTCCAGCCTCTATAACCCGTGAATAAAGCCACTCAGCACAATAGCCCGAACTCCATTCCTGCCAATGTGCGAGGCAGCGCCTGCACAACACACTTCACACGTTCACATTACACCGCTATGTCGGAACTCCAAGTCGAGAGTTGCAACACAGGGCGACGATATTGTGCAAAAAAAAAAAACGTTGGAGAAAATATAAGAATTCATGTAGTAAAAACTGCCCGCATATCATACACTTTAGTGCGTGACATCCTGGGTTCTGCGCCGAGTAGCAGCGAAACTTTTCTTCAAAACTGCTTTTGAACACGACACGCTCTGGCTGTTTTCCAATCAGCTTGAATGAAGACATTGAATTGCACAGGAAAAACTGCTCACAAAGTCTCGGATTTTCGTACATTTTTTAAATCAGAATGCCGTTGCAAGCACAGGCAAATGCACTTCCTCTTCGTCACGTTTCAGCACCTTATGGGAGGCGGTGACATTTGACAGTTCACTTGCAGAACGAAACAACACTCGCAAAACATGACTAACCGACCAGCCTGTCAGGGCCTACAGCTTAC